GTAATGTCTGTTGAAACTTGTATGTCATATTTAAATATATTTGTATTTACACATTTGTAATGATAAAGTTGCAATGTATTATATTTAAAAGATTTTAACTTTAAATGTAATATCAAGTAACACACTACAGTTAAAATTGTAATCAAGTACTTGACGTACTTTAGTCAACACATCAAAATAAGTGTACTTCTTTAAAGCAGAACAAAAGATTCAAACAAAGATTTAAAATATACTTTAAAGTACAATTTTTAATTTGACATTATTAGTCCCTTTTTAAAAGAGTACTTAAGTGTGTTCAGAAACAGTCATGAAAGTGTCTCTTAATTCACTTAAGTGTTTCATTTCATTAATATTATATTATCTGCACATACAATTTTCTAAAAATATTCTTTTAAGATTTGAAGCACAGCACAAGTGCGCATTCAGTACAATTAAGTGCACTTCTTTTTCACAAGGGTAGAAATCAAGAGTACAATCTCCTAACCCTGTGTATTAATCTTCAGCGTATAACTCAATTGACTCCAATGGTAACTCAAATTGTACATCTGATGGATAACAAAACAGTCAAAAACATCCCATTTAGATGTAAATAGACATTCATTTTATTCAGAAATTGTAGATTATTTTTAGTAGTGCAGCAACATTTTATGATTTAAGCTTTTATTTAAAAAAAAACCTCATACATTTGCAAACTGATTTGGCCCATGGGTTACACTTTATTTTAAGGTGCCCTTGCTACTGTGTAATTATACAGTACTGAGTAATATTAATTAACTACATGTACTGTGTTAAGATTAGGGTTAGGGTTTGTTTTAGGGTTACTTGCATAATTTATTGTTATTACAATAGTAAGTACATGTACATGTGTAACAAGGATACCTTAAAATAAAGTGCTACCAGCCCATGTTACTAAACACAAAGGTAAAAATACACACTCAATTAACAAATTAGTTTTATTGTTTCAAGTCATTTACTATTTGAAGATGGGAATTTTATTGTTTGAACTAATTGTGCAACAGAAGATGCATTTGAGTTTGCTTTGATTGGAGGCTTTGAGGAACACTATTAAACTCATGCATACTGTATGTTCCCTATTTTTAGATAGAAAAAGAAAAGCAAGAAAGTATCACGACACAAACTTTATTTAGTTCTGATCCTGGGGCCAACAAACCGTGCCACCGTGGTGCTGGATTTCAAGGGTTGTAATGTTTTATGTGGTTGTGTGGTGTGTGGTGTGTTAATCTGTGGTGTGTGTTAAAGCGACTATGAAACTACTGTTGTTGACAAGTGATGTGCTGATCATCGCTGAGGGAATCCTCAAGGAGATTATATTTACACTGACACGACTGGACAAATAAAACCAATGATTCTGTTGAACAGCCTGAGTCTCAATGGACACATTATAAATGCTTAATACATTTCGTGCAAATATTTTGTGAATCTGTTATAAATAGAAGATGCAAATGGAAGAATCACATTCATTTTTACCATGCATTACTGTAATTGCTCTGGGTGGATTTTCTCTTTGTAAACAATCATCTTTTGGTAAGTCACCATAACATTCTTTGTCAAAAAGAAGTGCACTTAATTGTATATAAAAATATATACTGTAGGTATATAAATATTTAATTATATAAAAAACTAACTGCAGATAATATTAATGAAATAAAGGTCAACTTAGTGACTTAAAGAGACACTTTAATCACTGTTTCTTAACACACTTAAGTACACTTTTAAAAATTGCACTTTTTAATAATGTAAAATTAAATGTTTCCAAAATTAAGTACACTTATTTTGATGTGTTGACTAACAAAAGTCACTTATTTTAATGTGTTGACTAAAGCCCATGTAAAGTACTTGATTATAATTATAATTTTAACTGTAGTGTATTATTTAATATTACATTTAAAGTTAATATATTTAAATGTACTAAACTGCAAATGTATTTAAAATTTCAATAGAAATTACATTAATATTTTAGTTTACCATAAATGCTTGTCAGTACATTCATCAGTACTTTAACCTTATTTCAAAGACAATAGAAGTAGTTACTTATAAATCAAATTTCATATAAAATGTACACTTAAGTCCTACTTAAGTGAGTTAAAAACACTCTAAATTTTAGCTAACTGCATTTAATATAAATTTAACCTATAATACATTTTCATTTAATTGCAATTTACATGCAATTATGTGTCCAAAAACATTACATTCAGTTCACACTTAAGTATATTCTTTTCAAGTATATTATTTCTATAATAAATGCTCTTTTTTAAAGTAATGATAAAGTGCACTTCTTTTTCACAAGGGATATTTATGAGAGGAGCTGAAATTTTTAACTTTGCACGAACAAGGTTAGTAACATGTATGATGTTTGATTCTTGTGGTTATATTTTTAGAACAGTATATTTTTTAGAACAGTATATTTTAATATTCATTTCATTGCAATGCCTTGCATTTTAGATTTCCATTGTAAGTGAATTACTGTATACTGTTTTTTTGTTTTTGTTTTTACAAATCAAGGGATTAGTCAAAATATTCTGATGCAGTTTGTATCTTGACATTGTAATTGTGTTTGCTCATAAATGCATAACTTTTTTTCCCCTGCATGTTCATAATGCATTTATGACCAAAGAATGTTGCCACTTTCTGAACACTATATGAATGGCTGCATGTCCTCAGATCTATGAGAACGAAGAGTACCATAAGCGTCTGAACGAGGACAGCCTGATGCACACACCCGAGTTTGTGATTAAGCCACGATCCCACACTGTTTGGGAGAAACAGTGTGTGCGACTGCACTGTACCATCTCAGGATGGCCTGAACCACGCGTTGTGTGGTGAGTTCACACACACAAACACACATGCACATACTTACACAACACATGCACATGTGTACACAAACACACATGCTTAGAGATGTACAGTATACGACTAATGATAGTAGTATTACATAAAGATTATAATGTGATAAGCAGTGTTATTTTAGTATGATTAAGATCCCTATCGATACTTCATTTGTACTGCGTCTGCAAAGACACTATGGGGAAAACTCCTTTTTCTCTGATGACTGAAGCCTTTTCAATAACGCAGTGTAACTGCACAGCCATTGGTTTGTGCAGTAAATTAAAAACGAACCAATGGCTCGGCAGCAGAGCTGCATGAGTCTATAGCGACGAAGCTCGCCAGATCCCGCCAGAATGGGCGGGGCCATCTGGCTATATAAGTGGGCATTTCGCCACTGGATCTCAGACTTCTTCTCCTTCAGTGACGACTTCAAGATCTTTGCTCTATGAGACTCGAAACCCTTCACCGTGGAAGAGCCCAGCAGCGGATCAAGACGTCTCTGCTCATCTGACTCGCCACTCCCCAGCCGTTTTCAGCTCCTGCAGCAGTCACGGTCTCTTCTGGTCCCCTGCCCTCAAATACTATTAGAGCAAATTTCCCACACCGGCTGAGCCCCCGCGTGCCTCACTCTCACCACACAGAGAGGTTTCTCCCTTCCTCTTCTACCACCCAGACCAGTGTCCCTCTGCGGCTGTGAGCGATCTGGTCTTGTTCGGTGGGAGCGAGTGTGACGCCATGGTCGACAGCATGTCGTTGGCTGCTTCTGACGCAGAGGAGCTGCCGGGCTCGTACTACGACCCCGCCTCCCTGCCGTCTGCAGAGTCCAGCAGGGGCATGGATGCCGAACTTTTCCGCGTCCTGTCTAAAGCTGTGGAGGAGCTGGGTTTAGAGTGGTCTCCGCCGGAGGAGCCCACCTGTAGCTGCCTGGATGAGTGGTTCTTTCCTGAGGTCCATGAAGAGCTGACCAGATCGTGGCGCGCCCCCTACTCGACCTGCCTACGTGCCTCCTCTTCATCCGACCTCACGTCGGTCGACGGAGCTGAAGAAAAAGGGTACGACAGACTGACTCCCCTGGATGAGTCAGTGGCCACACATCTCTGCCCGCCCACGACCATCGGCTGGAAGGCAAAGTCCGCTCACCCATCTAAGCCATGTAGGACGAGTTCAGCTCTCGCAGCGCCATTCCCCCTCACCCGGGGATGTGAGCGCCTCTTTCCTCCTCCAGCACAGTTCCCCGGACGGCAAACCCTGGTTGAGTGTCCTCCAGCACCCCCGGCAGTCAGGCTGGGTGGAGCAGTCTGACGCTAGGCTCAGTATTGGTGTTAGCTTGCCCGGGTCTCCGGTCAGCCCCTTTACTGGGCTAGGTGTACATATGGCATATTTTTACAAATTTACATATTTTTGTGGTGAAAGGAACAGCGGCTTGGCTATCACCAGCAGCGATATACTCACCTTTGGTCCTTGCGGGTACCAAGGTCAGTGAATTTGCGCTGGGGACGGTGGGAAGGTTATGGCCTTTGCGTAGCATTTGTCTGACACGTGGTTGCTTGTCAACATTTGTAATGCCATAGGGTTGTGACGGGGTTCAGGTTGTGGTGCTTTCCATGGACCCCTAATGTTGTCACGACATAACTCGAAGTGACCGACTGCTGTCCCCATGCCACAACCTTGAACCATCGCTGGTTGCCAGGGACAAATTCTCATGCAGTACTTTATTATGGATATTTAGATTTTTCAAAATATTTTCTGTATAATATTACTTGAAGTTTTGGCAATTTTGATGTGTTTTTGTCATTTTTATAAATGTTTTGTATTTTTTATTATCTATATAGTTTTTGGTCATTTTTAAGTTATTTAAGTTTATTTAAGTTTTTATTATATTTATTTAAGTTTAAGTTATTTTAGTACATAAAATTAAACTAAATGAAAAAGTTAAAATAAAATAAATTTGAGTTTTTTTATATTTTATGTCAGTTAAACTTTATTTTATTTCGAGTAACAAAATTATTTTGAAATCAAAATTGCCTCCATTCAGGGGACGCGTACACAACACCATTTTCAACTAAAAGCTGAAACATTTTAATGCGTTTTGGCTGTTCGTTTACATGATAAAGTCATTTTAGAAAACTTTTGAAAACAGGTTTCAAAGTGCAAATTTTTGAAAATGATACCGTTATCATCTCCATGTGAAAATACCCAAATTCGTGAAATAGTGACGTCATACATACAGTATTGCGTGTTCTTTACAAACTAACATCGCCAACTACTGGCCTAACATGCACAATGCAGCATTTTTACCTGCCATTTCTTTGTTATATTTGTGAAATGCACTAGCAATTTCTGAGTGAAAATGATTTCAGTAGCAGTTTTTTTAGTGCATTTGTATTTGGATTGAGATGCTGTGGAGGGTAAACTTGGCCTTTTCAGTCAAAAAGCTCTGATGCACTACATTATCCCAAAGTATTTAAATTCGTTCTTCTCTCTTAGGTACAAGAACAATGTTAGCATTGATCCGATGGCCACGCCAGAGAAGTACAAAGTGGAGAGCAGCTACAGCGTCCACTCCCTGGAGATTAACAAGTGAGCGCACATGGACTTCATCCTCTTAAAGCAGATAGAGTGATTTGCAGTGGTCAGGTGTGTAACATGTCTGTCTGTAATTCCAGGTGTGACTTCGATGACACTGCACAGTATCGTGTGTCGGCCATGAACAGCAAGGGCGAGACCTCTGCTTTTGCTTCTGTTGTCGTCAAAAGTAGGTCTGAAATAAATCATCCTAAAATCTTCCTAATGAGAAACACTAAACAGCCGTAATAGCAACGACACTAATGGTCAAATAGTCTGGAATAATTATTTATAATAATTTTTTATGTTTTTGATTAAGTCTCTTCTGCTCTACAATTCAGGACTTCCTTATGAAAGCTGTACATTATGGGTCAAAATTCTAGAATAATTAAAAAATGTTTAATATTGATGAAGACTCTTCTGCTCACCAAGGCTGCATTTATTTGATCAAAATACAGTGAAAACAGTGTGAAATACTGCAATTTAAAAGAACTGTTTTCTATGTGAATATCTAATAAAATGTAATTTATTCCTGAAATCAAAGCTGTATTTTCAGCATCATTCCTCCAGTCTTCAGTGTCACATGATCTTCAGAAATCATTCTAATATGCTGATTTGCTGCTCAAGAAACATTTCTGATTATTATCAATGTTGAAAACATTTGTGCTGTTCAATGTTTCTGTGGAAACTGTAATACACTACCATTCAAAAGTTTGGGGTAAGTGAGATTTTCTTTTTAAAAAACAACTTTTATTCAGCAAGAACACAATAAATTTATCAAAGGTGACAGTAAAGACATTTATAATATATTAGTTTCAACACTGATAATAATAAGAACCACTATTAATATCAAACAATATTAAGTGCAAATAATAATTAATAATAATTGAGCAAATCAGCATATTAGAGTGATTTCTGAATGATTATAATAATGTACGAATAATGTTTTTGATCAAACAAATGCAGCCTTGGTGAGCAGAAGAGTCTTCATCAATATTAAACATTTTTTAATTATTCTAGAATTTTGACCCATAATGTACAGCTTTCATAAGGAAGTCCTGAATTGTAATCTATTAAAAGTACCAATAAATCAATTTACTTACTACCCAATACAAAATGTATTTTAGTATGTCCTATTCATCTGTTTTATTAAGATGGGTTTTAAAGATTTTTTAACTTGAAATGTGTAAAAATGACCTGGTATTGTTCAAATCCAAAGATTAACACTTTTACTTGGCATCTACATTCATGGTTTTTTTGTATTCATTGCCATTACTTATGTCCCACTGATGGTCATAAATATGGCAGATCAGTCGAAAAAGTCAAATATAGAGTGAGTGAAATATATGAATAGTGAGTCATTCAAATTCTGCTTACAGTTTCATTAGAAGGAATAGTTCAAGAAAATGCGTAGTTTCTGTTTGGGAAGGTCACTTGCTAAGTGTTTCAAAAGGGGTCATAAGGGGATCATAAGGAAAACATTGTCCAATTATCTGATAAAACATGAAAAATCTTGTTGTTTTGTGTGATATGACATTTAGGATTCAAAGGAGAAATTGATTTTCTTCTCATTCTGAAATGAGAAGTTTCTGCCATCTCCCAGACTCCGTAAGTATTTCAGTATAAAACCTGATACTTAATTGCTCTCTTTCACAATTTCTGTATGTGTGCTTTGCTGAAGTGTGTGAAGCCGTGAGCATGAGGCTAAAGTTTTTCATGTAAGCTGGCTAATGGCTATTTTGTTTCCGATTCGCTGGTGCAGAAAGCAGAAAGTTCGGCTTCAAAGGTAACCTTGGTGAAGGTTTTTCTATAATGCTCTTTTAATGTTTCAGTCTCGTCTGGTTTCCCTGATCATCTTATATGCATGATCGTCTCCTCTCATTGTTTTACTCCTCTATCTTGATGAATTTGTCTAATATAGATAACATTCAGGATTGCTTTGATAAGTTACATGCAATGTGCTGGATTAGTATCCATTTTTAAACATGGAATTGCTATTATCCCAATATTGCATGTTTGTCTTGAAAAATAAAACATAAAATCGTTCAACATTTAAGCTTTACAATAAGGCCAGTATTACATTACTTGATAGAGTCAGTTTGGAGAATAAAAAAGAACTGTTGAAAAAATATTAAATGCAACTTTCTAACGAGTATCACAGAAAATATTTCCATCACTTCTCATAACAAAAAACAAACAAAAGCATGTTTACTGTAATGCACTTGCAATGTAAATCTAGAGGCAACTGGACCCTTAAACTTCCATTGTAAAGTGCATTACTGTAAACATTTTTATTTTTGTTTGTTATATGTAACCTGGAATATTCCTTTAATATTCCTTCATATTCCTTTAAAAATGTAAAAAATATTTCAAGGCAGACTAGACAAGGCTTATTATGGAAGCTCGTTTCCACCATGGGATAAAAAAAAGAAGGTAATTAAGACCTTTTATCTCACAATTCTGAGAAAAAAAAAGTCAGAATTGCAAGATATAAACTCAGAATTCTGACATTTTTCTCACAATTCTGAGTTTTCTTTCAATTTTGACTTTTATTTAAATTCTGATTTTACATCTCGCAATTCTGACATTTTTTCTTGCAATTGCGAGTTTATATCTTGCCATTTCAACTGTTCATCTCACCAAGGCTACATTTATTTGATAAAGAATACAGTAAAAAAAAGTAATGTATTTGTTTTCAAAAATTATCTATTTGTTTTCTACTCTAATATATATTTTACATCGCACAATTCTGAAATTTTTTCTTGAAATTCTGACTTTTTTTTTTTACTCAGAATTCAATTTTTTCTGTCGCAATTCAACTTTTTTTTTACTCAGAATTCAATTTTTTCTGTCGCAATTACGACTTTTTTTTTTAACTCAGAATTCAAATTTTTCTGTCGCAATTCAACTTTTTTTTTACTCAGAATTCACATTTTTCCATGTCGCAATTCAACTTTCTTTTTACTCAGAATTAAATTTTTTCTGTCGCAATTCCGACTTTTTTTTTTACTCAGAATTAAAATTTTTCTGTCGCAATTCAACTTTTTTTTTACTCAGAATTCACATTTTTCCATGTCGCAATTCAACTTTTTTTTTACTCAGAATTCAAATTTTTCTGTCGCAATTCTGACATTTTTTTTTTACTCAGAATTCAAATTTTTCTGTCGCAATTCCGACTTTTTTTTTTTACTCAGAATTCACATTTTTCCGTGTCACAATTCTGATTTTTTTTTTTACTCAGAATTCAAATTTTGCCGTGTCGCAATTCCGACTTTTTTTTTTTTTTTAATTCAGAATTCAAATTTTTATGCAGTTCTCGCAATTACGAGTTTATATCTCGCAATTACGACTTCTCGTCTCAGAATTGCGAAACATGGGTGAAACGATGTGGAAACCAGCGTCCATACTGAGGACATTAGATTTCTTGCATAAATATCTTGTCTTTATTATTTCCATTTCCAGTTTCTGTGTGTGTATTTGTATTCATCTTCATGGAAGTGTCTCTGTTTTCTATTCTTTGTTTGTCTCAGTACTGTCAATGCAAATGTCTTCCTAGTCACTAGCATTCACCGCTCTTTTGTTATCTTATTGTGTTTTTTATGAATTTGTTTTCCACCTAAATGATGCCTGCTGTCAGTCTCCTTTCAATTATTGATGATGTTCATGTGAAAAGTTTCATTGTACTTTTCATTGTACATGAACTGTGTGTTTCATTATAAATACGTGCCTATATGTATGCATCATTTTCCACAAGGTGAATGAATCCTGGAGTCTTACACATCAATACTGTATTTTCATAAAACAAAGCTGAATTTAATGTGCGTGTGCACTGCAGCACCTTGTCTGGAGTATGGAGTGACATTCGAGACGCACCTCGTGGAGAAGTTTGGGGTGTCTTTTGGACGTGAGGGTGAGACGTTGAGTTTTGGCTGCTCTGTTATCATCTACCCGTCACTGCAGCGCTTCCAGCCTGAGATAGAGTGGTACAGAGATGGTAAGACTGTGATCTCTGATAGTGTCTCTCGCAAAATTGAGCGCTCATCAAATTACTGATATTTGTGCCATTATTTAACGCCCCAAAAAAGCATGTCTTAAAGCCGACACTAACTTGCGCTGCTCTTGGTAGATTGCGCTGGTCATTATGGAAATGATTTGGTTGCGTCTGTGTTCTTTAATGTGCATATTGTAAGTAAATCACACGTAGAATTTTCCCATCAGCACTTTTATGCAATTGCGCTCTAACGCTAATTTGCCCTGTTTAGTAAATCTGGCCCCAGATATTATTGCTAATATTGGCCAATCCTGATATCAATTTACAATGCATATTTAATCTTTACTTCTTGCAAATTGGTGTATACATTACCAGTCAAAAGTTTGGAATATTTACGATTTTTTTATGTTTTTGAAAGAAAGCTCTTATGTTCACCAAAGCTATATTTCTTTGATAAAGAATACAGTAAAACAGTAATATTGTGAAATACTATTACAATTTAAAATATCTGTTTTCTATGTGAATATATTGTAAAATGTAATTTATTTCTGCGATCAAAGCTGTATTTTCAGCATCATTACTCCAGTCTTCAGTGTCACATGATCTTCAGAAATCATTATAATACGCTGATTTGCTGCTCGATTATTATCAGTTACTATTGGTACTCTTTTTTTAAATAATGGTTCTGATTATTACCAATGTTGAAACAGTTGTGCCACTTCATATTTCTGTGGAAACTGTGTAATATTTTATTTTTCGGGATTCTTTGATGAATAGAATGTTCAAAAGATTCAAAAGATATTTTAATATAAATCTTTTAGAACATTATAAAGGTCTTTATTGGCACTTTTGATCAATTTAATGCATCTTTGATGAATAAAAGTATAATTTTTTTATTTTACTTGGTAGTGCAGCACAGCTGTTTTCAGCATTGTTAAACATTGAAATGTTTCTTAAACACCAAATCAGCATATTAGAATGATTTCTGAAGATCATGTGACACTGAAGACTGGAGTAATGATGCTGAAAATTCAGCTTTGATCACAAGAAATCAATAGATTTTTTAATAAATTGTTCACATAGAAAACAGTTATTTTAAATTTTAATAATATTTCATAATTTTACAGTTTTTACTGTTCTGATTATTACCAATGTTGAAACAGTTGTGCCACTTCATATTTCTGTGGAAACTGTGTAATATTTTATTTTTCGGGATTCTTTGATGAATAGAATGTTCAAAAGATTCAAAAGATATTTTAATATAAATCTTTTAGAACATTATAAAGGTCTTTATTGGCACTTTTGATCAATTTAATGCATCTTTGATGAATAAAAGTATAATTTTTTTATTTGACTTGGTAGTGCAGCACAGCTGTTTTCAGCATTGATAATAATTTAGAAATGTTTCTTAAACACCAAATCAGCATATTATAATGATTTCTGAAGATCATGTGACACTGAAGACTGGAGTAATGATGCTGAAAATTCAGCTTTGATCACAAGAAATCAATAGATTTTTTAATAAATTGTTCACATAGAAAACAGTTATTTTAAATTTTAATAATATTTCATAATTTTACAGTTTTTACTGTACTTTTGGTCAAAAAATGCAGTCTTGGTGAGCATAGACAAATTGGAAATTTTTATATTAAAAAAATAATATTTTTATATTCAAATTTTTCAAATATAATTTTTGTGTCATTCAGAAACATAAAAACTTTAGACTGTATATTTTCCTTTATATACTAAAATGCATTTTCTTCCTATAGTGACACATTCTGTAATGCATGGATGTGTTTGTGTGTGTTTTAGATAAACTGCTGGTGCCGTCAAAATGGGTTCAGATGCACTGGAGCGGCGACAGAGCGACACTCACTCTCTCACACCTCAACAAGGAGGATGAAGGACTCTACACACTTCGCGTCATCACCAAATCTGGCTTTGAGACACATTCAGCGTATGTCTTTGTCAGAGGTGAGAACCAATACACTCAGCTATTTCTAATTGAGCCTGCTGCATTATTACAGGCCAAGATATTCATGCTGGTAATATTGTGACACACTCTTTTGGCTTGTACAGTGTGTGAGATTTACATGTCTCTGTAAGCCTCCCTTCCTAGCTCATGTTTCTTTCTAAATTTATCATGCTGTGTCTGTGCCGTCATGACATTCAGATGAAGTAGCTGTGAAACTGCCTCGACGAATGAAGTTCTCAACACTCCCCTAGTTAAAATACTACAATAATACACTTTATAAAACTTCATTTGCATTTAGATTTTAATCAACAACACTGTACCATGCTTTGTGAAAAAGAAGTACACTTTAGCATACTTTTAAAAAGAGTACTTAATTATACATTTGCTATACAAGTAAACAAAAAAACTGGTGCAGAAAGTTTTCACGAACAATTACAAAGAATTAAATGCAAACTTTTTAAGTAGAAACCTGATATAGTGAACACACTCCAATAATCTTTATATGCAACTTTGAAAAATCTTTTTTTTTTTTTTTACAGTTTATATATATATATATATAATGTAAGTGCAAACTGAATGCAATGTTTTCAGACATTTAACTGCAAAAGTTAATTACAGTTAAATTATAATTTGTAGTAAATGCAGTTAGCTGAACTTTTAAGTGCTTTTATGATCCACTTAAGTAGGACTTATATGTAATTTTAATAATAACTTTGAAATATAGTTGATGTGTAAAAGCAGGTTCAAGCTTATATGGTAATTAAAATATACTTTGCATGTATGTTAGTCTACACATCAAAATAAGTGTGCTCCTTTAAAGCACAACAAAATATTATTAAAACATAATTTAAACAGTAAAACTTAATTTGACATTATTACAAAGTACACTTTTTAAAAATGTATTTAAGGGTGTAAAGAAACACCCATGAAAGTGTCTCTCTTTAAGTCACTTAAGTGGCCTTTTATTTCATTAACATTATCTGCAAGTACAGTTTTATAAAAAATATGCTTTTAAGATTTGAATTAAACTACAAGTGCACATTTAATACAAAATAAGTGCACTACATTTTCACAAGGGATGGCATGCAGTTGCTTGATGTAAACTCATTGCAATTGCTTAAATGATTCATTTAGACTTTATTTCATTTGTGTGTTTGTTAGATGCTGATGCAGAGGTTGCTGGAGCTCCTGGTGCACCTTTAGATGTTCATAGTCTGGATGCTAATAAAGATTATGTCATCGTTACCTGGAAGCAGCCTGCTGTGGATGGAGGAAGCCCCATTTTGGGATATTTTGTTGACAGGTCACTGCATCTGTATACAGACAACACACAAGATCAAATAAAAAGCTCTAATGAAGATGTTATCCATATAGATTTCTAATGTATAATCGTCCCCTTGGAGTTATAAGGTTCTATCTGCATTCCGAGTAGTTCTGAGATATTGAGCTTCAAAGATTTTTGCATTCCATTCGACTGTGTAGATATAAATAAATAAAATAAAAAGTCCCAAAATGTACACAACATTAAAAAATCTATCACATAGTGTAAATAAGTTGTCACAGAATAAGGATATGTGAATAACTCAATTTTGACAAAAATGCCAGATAGAACCTTATAATTCCAAGGGGACGTAATGTAAATAAACATCATATAGGCCAGAAACACTAAATCTCATATCACCGGAAAATCCAGCTGAAACCAGCATAACGCAGTTTACTCTATATAACATCAGCTGGTTTTCTTTAGAATCTAGTTGTCGATGGATATTGAAAGTAGCTTAGCTAGAATATGGAATTATTTTTTACTATACCTTTTGATCAAACTGCAAAAAGTGTCTTGTTTTCCAGTGCAAACCTCTAAAGATTCTTAAATCAAGATACAAAAGCAAAATGATTTAAGGGCCCGGTTTCACAGACGGGGCTTAGAGTAAGCCAGGATTAGATCAAAGTTTAATTAGGACATTTAAGCAATTTTTATGAAAGTGCTTAGAAAAAAACATTACTGGTGTGCATCTCGAGACAAAACAAAGGCTCTGATATATTTTAAGATCAGTCAGTGCAAGTTTCTTTCAGTTGAAACAGCTCAGACTTACAGTTTAGTCTAGGACTAAGTTTAAGCCTTGTCTGTGAAACCGGGGGAAGAAGTCTTATTTTCTGAGAAACTGATTAAAATGAAGTGAGTTTATGTTTGAAAAAGAACAAATATCTGCAAGTGGGCTCAGAAAAATCAACTTAATTCAAAGGGAGATTTCATGCTAGATTAATATCCCATTGACAGATATTTGTTCTTGTTTTAAGCATAAACTGACTTAATTTTGTTCAATTTCTCAGAAAACAAGACTTCATATCTTCATTTTGCATCTAAAGTAAATGTATATTAATTTAAGGATGTTCAGATATTTGTATTGGAAAACAAGACAACCTACTGAGGAACCTACTATATTTATTTTTTATTTTTGCTTTGAATGCAACATTTAATGCCATGACTATGAAGACATACTGCTTTTATTTGAGACCTTTTTAAGGCCTTAATTTATGGAAGGGAGAATTAGGACTTTTTAAAGTAATTTTTAAAACCAACAGAAACCCTGTAGAACATCAGATTGTAATTCTTGGTGCATTAAAATGTATTTCCCTCCCTTTTCTCACTGCAGGTGTGAAGTTGGCATGACACACTGGGCGCAATGCAATGACACTCCGGTGAAGTTTGCACGCTTCCCTGTAACTGGTCTCGTGGAAGGACGAAGCTATGTGTTTCGAGTGCGTGCGGTGAACAAGGCAGGCATGAGCCATCCATCTCGTGTGTCTGAACCAGTAGCCGCTATGGACCCTGCAGACCGCACAAGAAAAGGTACAACAAGATCAACAGAGTGAATACACAAAAACTAAAAGCAAAGGAAGCAATCAAATATACTGTTGTTCTGTAGGTCCCTCTGCTCCTTGGACTGGACAAATCATTGTGACTGAGGAGGAGCCTGTGGGTGAGAAATGTCAAATTAAAATGATTAGGGATGCACGATATTATCGGACTGATATCGGAATCAGCCGATAATAGTTTTAAATGTAAATATCGGCATTGGTCTGATATGGAAAATTATGCCGATATGTCTTGCCGATAAGATGAATGCGTTTACTCACATGTGCTCAGGAGGTGCTAGCGATTAGATCAGTTTAGCAGTGTGGCTCATTCTTGAAGAAAAGTTTTGTCTGAATGAGGATTAGATTGACTGTTTGGATCGCTGCATTTAATCTGTGAAAGCACGTATGACGCGTTTGGTGTGTGATAGAGTAAACAGTAATAGCACGTGCAGCGGGTCCTAACGCCTGCTCAGTAATGAGTTTTAAATCCTAGGGGGCGCTGTTGGCCTACTTCTAATTAAATTAAAAGTAAAATAGCCTAAACAAATTACATTTAGACTGTGTTTCTGATTAAATAAAGTAGTAATTGATGTCATAAAATCATGAGTATGTTTTGATTTAAAGGTCAGAAGCTATAGCTTACATGAAAAAAAAATAAAAAACTTGTAAATTAAATAATTTTACATATACTGATTTATACATTAATGTGTAATATGTTTTATTTTTTAAACAAATCACAAGCTCTAAAAGATTTTGATCATTTTTACAACTCTTTTGCTTTAGACCATCTACAAATGTTAAATCTTAAAATAAAATGTTAGGGTTAACACTGCATGTTTCTGGGGAAAAATGCAGCGATTGATATATAGTTTATTTATAGTTATTTTCAAAGCTTCAATGTACTGTACTTGTTTATTTAATTCTAACAAATAAGTTCTTGTTAAAAATATTTTGCTTATAATTTCTGCACAGGAGAGACTTGGTGTTGTTTCCAAACAAAAGGAAATATATCGGTATCGATATCGGCCAAAATGAGTTGAAAAATATCGGATATCGGCAAAAATCCAATATCTTGCATCCATAAAAATTATCTTTTTTTAGGGTTTGCACTGTTATTAAAAACCTTTAAATATAGAGAATACTATAGAAACCACCATAGTTCAGCTAAACATATGATTCTGTAATTCATAATAGAGAGAAACTTAATAATTATGATTATACTCATTTTATTGAGAAAATGTCTCATATTGACCTCCTGTACCATAATAATAAGATTAATATGGCTTATTATCTCATAATAATGAGAATATTAAGGGTAATAATAAGGGCTTAGTGTCTCATTACAGAGAAAATGTCTCGTAATAATGACTTTCTATATCATAATGAGAAACTTTCCCGTAATTCTGACTTTTTCATAATACTGATAAACCTTCTTGTATTTATGAGTTATGAGTATTTATGAGTTAATGTTATAATATTAAAAATATATATATCTTTATTATGACTTAACATCTTATTTTAATGAGAAACTTTCTCATAATGACTTAATATCTCATAATAATGAGAACTGTGATTTCATGTTATGATATTAAGAAAACAAATCTCATTATTATGATTTAGCATTGCATTAGTGAGAAACTTTCTCATAATGACTTAATATCTCATAATAATGAACTGTGATTTCATGTTATGATATTAAGAAAACAAATCTCATTATTATGATTTAACATTGCATTAGTGAGAAACTTTCTCACAATAAGAAATGTTTTCATAATGACATAGTATCTCAATAAAGAGAAAATTACTCAAAATAATGACTTTCCATATCATATTCATGAGAAACTTTCCTGTAATTATGACTCAGTATCTTATAATAATGATACTTTCTTGTAATGCCGTAATGTTATATTTTTAAAAAATCATATGACTTAACATCTCATTATAAGAAACTTTCTCTGACTTGTAATAATAAGAAACTTTCTCATAATAATGACTTAGTATCTCATAATAATGTGAAACTTCCTCATAATAATGAGACATTTTATTGTGAGTTAAAAAATGTAAAATAAATCTTATTATGATGACTTAACATTGTATTATGAGAAACGTTCTCATAATGACTTAGCATCTTGTAATAAGAACATTTCTCATAAAAAACAATTCTTGTAATATCTCGTAATGAGAAACTTTCTCATAATAATGATTGATGAGAAACAAATTCATTATTAAGAGACGTTTCTCATTGTTATGAGATGTTTAGCCATTATGACAATAAACTCTCATTTTAACGAGAACATTTCTCATCACCTGAAAATTTCACAGTTTTATGAGAAACTACGGCATTGTTAAGAGAGCATTTCTCATTATTATGAGATGTTAAGTTAATATTATGAGGAGGTTTCTCATTGTTATGGCTTACAGAGTTTAACTCAACTTCCACAGGGAATCTCTATTAAATAATTAAAAAAATCCTGATAAAGCTTCACAAACATATGGAAAAGTGCATTGGTCAAATACTGTACCTGTATTTTTTACATTTCCTTGTCCGTTGAATTCTCTTTCAAAATCAGTTAACCTACAGTACCAATATCATATGCTGCATTTTACATTTTATCTTGACTTCATGTAGAGGGAGTGGTTCCCGGCAGACCTTGTGATCTCTCAGTCATTGAGGCCACTAAAAACTATGTGGTGTTGAGCTGGAAGCCTCCAGGCGAGAAGGGCCATGAAGGGGTTATGTATTACGTGGAGAAGGTCAGAGAGTAAAACTGAATGTGTGACCCTGGACCACAAAACCAGTCATAAGGGTCCATTTTTCTAAATTAAGATTTATACATCATCAGAAAGCTGAAATAATAAGCTTTCCATTGATGTATGGTTTGGTAGGACAGGACAATGTTTGGCCGAGATACTGGACATCTGAAAAATCGCCTTTAAAGTTGTCCAAATGAAGTTCTTAGCAATGCATATTACTAATCAAAAATTAAGTTTTGATATATTTACAGTAGGAAATTTACAAAATATCTTCATGGAACATGATCTTTACTTAATATCCTAATGATTTTTGGCATAAAAGAAAAAATCTATAATTTTGACCCATACAATGTATTGTTGGCTATTGCTACAAATATACCCCAGCGACTTAACACTGCTTTTGTGCTCCAGGGTCACATTTAACTTCATAACCACTGCCAGTGGCATTTCTATATTTATTAAAGCTTTAGTGTATGTTGAAGACTGTTTGTAATTGGTTTAGTAATAATGTGCGTGTGTGTGTGTGTGTGTGTGTGTGCAGTGTGTGTCTGGCACAGACAGCTGGCAGCGAGTCAACACTGAAATCCCCGTCAAATCTCCACGTTTTGCTCTTTTTGATCTGGCCGAGGGCAAGTCTTACCGCTTCCGCGTTCGCTGCTGCAACTCAGCTGGTGTTGGTGAACCATCAGAACCGACTGAAGCCACCACGGTTGGGGACAAGCTGGGTATGATATATTCAATAACAGCCTCTAAACCAAGCAAAAGATCAAGGAATATTTGATGTTTTCATGAGTATAAAACCAGTCATAAGGGTCCATTTTTCTAAATTAAGATTTATACATCATCAGAAAGCTGAAATAATAAGCTTTCCATTGATGTATGGTTTGGTAGGACAGGACAATGTTTGGCCGAGATACTGGACATCTGAAAAATCGCCTTTAAAGTTGTCCAAATGAAGTTCTTAGCAATGCATATTACTAATCAAAAATTAAGTTTTGATATATTTACAGTAGGAAATTTACAAAATATCTTCATGGAACATGATCTTTACTTAATATCCTAATGATTTTTGGCATAAAAGAAAAAATCTATAATTTTGACCCATACAATGTATTGTTGGCTATTGCTACAAATATACCCCAGCCACTTAACACTGCTTTTGTGCTCCAGGGTCACATTTAACTTCATAACCACTGCCAGTGGCATTTATATATTTATTAAAGCTTTAGTGTATGTTGAAGACTGTTTGTAATTGATTTAGTAATAATGTGCGTGTGTGTGTGTGTGTGTGTGTGTGCAGTGTGTGTCTGGCACAGACAGCTGGCAGCGAGTCAACACTGAAATCCCCGTCAAATCTCCACGTTTTGCTCTTTTTGATCTGGCCGAGGGCAAGTCTTACCGCTTCCGCGTTCGCTGCTGCAACTCAGCTGGTGTTGGTGAACCATCAGAACCGACTGAAGCCACCACGGTTGGGGACAAGCTGGGTATGATATATTCAATAACAGCCTCTAAACCAAGCAAAAGATCAAGGAATATTTGATGTTTTCATGAGTATGGCCTCTTTAAATACATTGTTATATTAGCATATATTAATACATGGCTCTCTGGAATACTTATGGTAATTCTGATTGGTGGACCGCACATCGGGAAAACTGAATCCAGCACTACTTTCATGTCCTTCTTTTCTTGTTTTACACAAATGCAACTAGTGCCATCTTGCGTCTTAATTATTGATAGCTATCAAAATAAAATTAGAAGACTGAAGACTTAAAAATAGTAACATCGAACCTAAACCTAAATACATAAATTTATACCAAACAACAGAAATTTTTATGGATTAAATCAGGTAGAAAAAAACTCATTACGGTAAAAGTTGCTGGTTACCACGTTTTACAGAGCAGTTTTGAAAATGTAATTTTTATAATTGTGGAAATCTTGTAATTGAAAATTTTTAATTTTTTTACTAGTGGGTGCAAGACACTATAGTTAATTTATGTAAGTGAGGATAGCAAAATAAAGTAAACGGTGACATATTCTATCAAAACATTCTTCATACAGTGGACTACTAGTAAAACTGATAAAAAATTTGTGACCAAAAATTTTATTTGACACTTTGACCTTACCATGTTTTGTTGCATACCTTTCTATTAAAGTAATCTGACATTATCAAGATGAATTTGTTCTGGCACAGTTTAACTCTTGAGTTCTTGTCATATTTTATTACCATTTTCTAAACTATAGCGAACAAACTGTGATAATGTGAGAGATGTTGAAGGTGTCCGAATACATTTTGGTTTGATGTGCGATTTTAAAACAATTTAAACTCATATGCATATTTCATTTCCATGTCATTATTTTTGGTGAGTAGTCATGTAAAAAGCAGGATGTTTAAACTTGTTTGTTCATCTCGACTAAAAGCTGTTTGCTGTTTTGCTTTGCAGAAGCTTTGATTATATTACCAAAATAATTACCGCATACAGATAACTGTTGGTTGATCTTAAATATAATAAATTCTATAATAGTTCAATGTTTTCTTTACCTGCCTGCAGATATCCCATCAGCCCCTGGCCGTGTGGTTCCTACCCGCAATACAGACACATCTGTGGTGGTTTCATGGGAAGCTTCACGTGATGCTAAAGAGCTGGTGGGCTACTACATTGAGAGCAGCGTTGCAGGGAGCAACACTTGGGAGCCATGCAACAACAAACCAGTTAAAGGCACAAGGTATAACGACACATACATTGTAATTATAATTAATCAAAACACACAAGCAAGAGTGCTGCTATACTAAATATCACAACTGTAACATGTCCATAGGTACAAGGCAGTGATCACAGTCTAATATTCAGTACAACAGCATGATTCTAAAAGTGATATTGCTTTTAGACAACATTTCCATATTCTATATGGAATAATTAATATAAAGTAACTTACGTTTGAGACACAAATTGGCCAGTTGGTTTATAGACTCCTTCTCCTCCAAAGAAAATAGTTCCAAACGATCCTGAACGATTTCACCTGGATAAACATTCTATGCTTGATTCTGTTTGGTTGACGAGCGTTCTGAGGTGTGACATTATTTTCAGGGAAACGCACGGCTAAAGTAGTTCCAGGCAGGTCTTGAACGCATTACAATTCAACTGCAGAACAACCAAAACCCACAAATACACTGACCAAGCTCAAAACATTGTAAACAATAGGATGAAATTGACTATTCCCCACAAATTCACAGCAAACCGACGGAAAGCACGCTTTCTTTCTTTTCAAACACATAGAATAAAGACACGGTTCGCGTCTTGGCCACATCACCACCTCGAGTGTGCATTATTTTTCAGCTTTTCATCATTTATCTTTACTTTTTTCTCACAATTGTGAGTTTTTGTGAGAAATTAAGTAAGAATTGTGAGACATGAACTCGCAATTCTGAGAACATAATATTGTCAGTCTTTTTTTTCCACCTCAGAACGGGACTTGATACCTCGCAATTGTGAGTTTATATCTCACAGTTTTAAGAAAAAAAGTCAGAATTATGAGAAAAAAGTCAGAATTGCTAGATACAAATTCGCAATTGCGAGAAAAAGTAAGAATTGCAAAATACAAATTCGCAATTGCGAGAAAAAAGTCAGAATTGCTAGATACAAATTCGCAATTGCGAGAAAAATTAAGAATTGCGAAATACAAATTCGCAATTGCGCGAAAAATTAAGAATTGCAAAATACAAATTCGCAATTGCGCGAAAAATTAAGAATTGCGAAATACAAATTCGCAATTGCAAGAAAAAAGTCAGAATTGCGAAATACAAATTCGCAATTGCGAGAAAAAGTAAGAATTGCGAAATACAAACTCGCAATTGCGAGAAAAAAGTCAGAATTGCGAAATACAAACTCGCAATTGCGAGAAAAAGTAAGAATTGCGAAATACAAATTGTCAGAAATTGTAAGATAAAAAACACATTTACCTTTTTTCTTTTTGGAAGTGGCGGAAATGGGCTCCCATACATCTGCAAAATGCAAATTTTTGTGACTGATTGGTGTAAACATGCCATTAGGGACTGAAGGGTTTATTAAATGAACAATAATATAAGCAACAATACAATGTTTGTCTTAGTAAGCTTCACTAATCAGTGCTAGAACTGTTTGTTTGAGGTTTGAATTTTAGGTTGGAACATTAATTTCTGTTCATGTGTTTATGCAGGTTTATCTGTCATGGCTTGACCACTGACGAGACTTATGTTTTCCGAGTAAGAGCCGTCAATGCTGCAGGAATCAGTGAATTCTCACAGGAATCAGAAGCCATTAAAGTTAAAGCTGCTATCGGTAAGTCATTTATACACTCATATTGGTATCATTAAGATCTTTAGAATATGATTTCACTTTTCCAGCTTTCACTTTTTAATTCTGACCACTGTAACGCATTCCACACGTCCTATATGACACATTAGTGTCAAGGCCACCAAACTCTAGCTCCGCTCCCTGCATTCCTCCCAGGGGTCAGGACTTGTAGACCTCCTCTAGTTTGGGTCACAACTGATCCAACATAGTGGTGACTACAAAACCAGCTCACCCGCTCTCCCACATACACTCCTTCCCACTCCCTCAATCTTTTCAAACCCATCCCTTCTGCATGTCTTTCATGCTTTCCATGTCATGACCTTTAACAGCCATGAGACTTTCTGTTGAGCATCATGCTCACTTATCCTTCATGAAACATGCTTTTCTTGAGCACACCTTTTTCTAATCAAAGCAGTACTCTCTGGCACAAAAACTCAATGTGAACAGATACATTTACAATAAAACAGCATAAATTATAAAATAAATAAATAAATAAAAATCCACAGGGAATTGGACTTCATAACAATATATGCAAAGAGATTAATTTAGGAGAGTGTTTTTTTTTATTGTCTCTGTTTGTTTGCTTTTTTTTCGTTGGGCTACAAAGCTTGCAAGAGCTAAAAAATATATTTGTGATTGGCAAAAGTAGTTTCTTATTGTAAAAGTTACACTATTTTTAAAGTAGCTGCAGATATTAGGAAAAATCAGTGCTGGTTAATATATAAAACTAGCCATGAAACATAAATATTAGTATTGTAATTTTACTAGAGAGCTTATAGAGTAAGTACATTTGGGTAATAACAAGCAAAATTATTAGACCATGATGTGGCCAATTTGTGATCTCCAACCTTGTCTTTCTGCCTAGGTTTCAGAGCTAAAGGAAAACATGCTGTACCAGTTCCAGGTACGTGCAGCCAACATGGCTGGTGTGGGCATCCCGTCTCTTCCCAGTGAGACATTCAAGTGTGAGGAGTGGACTATTGCTGTACCGGGTAGGCACAAATGAATTAGAAAAATAAGTATATAATTTTACTTTCCAGAGCTGTAAAGCTTACAATAAGTAATCCTTGTGACAAAAAAGTACACTTAAGTAATCTTTTAAAAAGCATACTTTTTATAAGAGTACTTAAGTGCGAATATACTTACGTGTGAACTGAATGTAATGTTTTCGGACACATAATTCCATGTTATTTGCAATTAAATGAAAATGAATTATAGTTAAAAAGTGCAATTAGCTGAACATTAGAGTGTTGTTTTGACCCACTTAAGTAGGCTAAGTGCTAATCTAATCTAATTCATAATTTTGTCAAACTATTGTCTTTGAAATATGGTTGAAGTACTGCTGAATGTACCGAAAAGCATTTATGGTGAACTGAAATATACTTTAATGTCATTACAAAGTGCACTTAAGTGTGTTAAGAAACAGTCATGAAAATGTCTCTTGTTAAGTACATTTAAGTGCCCTTTTATTTCATTGATATTATATTATCTACAGT